ACATGAAAAATAATAATCCCTACGATTCTTTCAAGATATTAGAAGAATTCTTTCTAAATTTAACAAAAAGGGGGGGGGTGGGGGGGGGGGGGGGGGGGGTACTTAGCTTTGCTTAATATGCACAACTTGCTTATAAATTGTAGATTACATGTTTGTTTTTTTTTTCTTTTTTCTTTTTTCCTTTCTAGTGTCAATGCATAATATTATATTTTTCTTACCTGGTCAGAATTTGTATTATAATGTTTCCTATATGAAGTGCGGTTGAGTGTTCAAGAGTTACAAGGACCACTGGTGAATTCAACCATATAATGATGTTTACTACTTCGTTGTTTATATAGGTGGGGCTTATCTCGTCACTTCCATTATGTCCCTGAAATATCAGCGGCCTTTTTCTGGACTTTACCAGCTCTTTTTAACCATGTAAGCTATGACACACATGACTAGAATTTTTTGAGGTTTCTTTTTCCATTTTTATATTATTTTTTCTGTTCTCTTCTTTGGCTGAAAATAAACTTTTAAAAGATTCTGATCTTGCTTCTTCAATCTCTTTGCAGATTCTGCCTTACTTTTATGTGGTGTTTCTCACCATTCTTCTCTTTGACCGAGCTAAAAGAGACGATGATCGATGCAGATCAAAGTAAGTTAAATCAACCTCTCTCTTTATAGCATCTTATAGGAGTTTTTCAGGTGATCATATTGCAACTATTTGTTCATTCCCCTGACAGCTCTGTCATATTTTTGACCTTCAAGCAAACATCCATAAATGTAACTACAAAATTAGAGTTACCGTTAAACCCTCTAACAAGGAGAAGTGTGAGTAAAATGGTTAGTGTTGTGCTTGTAGGTCCTCAGTATTGGAAATTTTGACCAGATTACTTTTCTTTTTGCAGGTATGGAAAATATTGGAAATTATACTGCGAGAAGGTTCCCTACAGGATTATACCTGGTATTTACTAAGAATCTGAACAGGTTAATTCTGAGTTTCCTTGAACTCTTTACTAGATAGCACTCTCCCTTGGAAGAGTGGCAGGATTTGGTTTCTAAATCTGTATGCTATAATGACACAGGGGTGTTGTACTTTTATCGCATACAATAATACCATCAGTTTTATTGTAAAATTTCGGATTGTGGTTTCTCTTTGAAGAATTTTCTCTGCAAACTCAATTATGGTTGGAGTTCTTGGGTTGCAGCTCTGAAACCAGGGCTAAAGACGTTCTTTGCTCACATAGGTATAAAAAATTCGTCAAATGATAGTTCTATCATCACCACATCCCACTTGGACGGGGTTGGTTCTGAGGTGAGACAGTACTGCATCAATTATAGGAAAAGATGCATAATGGCGTAATGACTTTGATTGATTTTTATAACTAGAAAGTTGTCAATTTCTTTCATAATTATGAATACTATGAGAAGATATGCCAGTGGAAGTGTATTTTGTCAGCTTTGGAGAGAGAGGAAATAGATTCAATCATAATCAGCTGGCAAATGAGGGCCTCCTAATTTAACCCACAAGAAAAAAGAAGGCACGGAAAATATGTTTAACACGATCCGATCATATTTCTAGTTCGAATTCATATGAAAAATATGTATCGATTCTCAGTATTTATCACCCGTGGTTGCACATACTATATATATTATTCATAATACCTATTTTCCATTTATTGATTTTGTCACGTTCTAAACTTATTTTGAGTATTTCTACATCACAACAAGAAACTTACTATCTAAATGGTGATCAAACAATCAAATAGTACAATGGGAATGCAAAACCAATAAAAAAAATCAAGAAACACGAAACTAATTATAATGATTTAAAATGAACAAATAATAAGGTTCAACATTTATTCAATACAATGAAAAATTTAGCCTACCATTCTTATGATTAAATTACACAAAAATAATTGAAAAAACATCATCCGAAAATAAGAAAGATGGAAAAAGCAAGAGAAATTAACGTTCTTAACTCAAATCTTAAAATTGGGCCATGAATCTTTAAAAACCTTGTATGATTCTCTTTTAAATTAATGTATAGACTTGTTCTTCACCTCATGGAGTTTTTTTATGTTTTAGTCAAGTTTTGGTACTTAAAGAATGCTAAAAAGATTGCATTGAATTGTTAGCAAAACAAAAATAAGAAAAATCAATTTTTTTTTCCATTTTTGTATTGAGGCGCACGCTTAAGCATATCTAGGGCACATGCTTGACTGGTTGGAGGTCGCCTCATTTTTTCTTAGGGCGCGCGCCTCTCTTGCATGCGAGGAGCTCGCCTAATTCCCAACAACCAAACAGTTTTCGATATTTTCTCATAACTCTCTCCTGATATGCGATTGATGTAATTCAATATGTATTGGAAATCTCACTCAGAGGGCGACAATTCTTCTAGAAATATTATTTTTTTCAAGTCGAATGTTTACCATGCCAAAATTGGGTTCAATATGAGGCTGAAAATCAGAAGTATTACTTTTTCGGTTGAAAGTTAATGTGTTATAATACTTTGACTATACTTCATCCATTTAATTTGTTTCCTCATTCAATTGACCCCAAGCACTCTCAAATCTTCATCTCGATGTTCAATGCAACTTTTTAGTATTTACACTTTAGACCCCAAACTTTGGATTTACTTCATTTCAACCCTTTTTCTTTTGCAATCTTGTTCCTATATCGTCAAATTGTATCTAATTAAATTATTGATATCTTCGATCTTCATTTTGCAGCTCGTCTCATATATGAATTATTTGTAATTTAGTCTATTTTTGGATTTCACCTTTTTCACTATTTTTGCATTTTTTTTCTCTAATTCTTCATCAAACATTGATTTTTTCCTCTAAATAAGAGTAAATATAATCATTTAGGATATCTAATAAGTGTAGAAACTACACTTATCACACTGTGTGTTTTTCGAAAATTTGTATTTGTCTATCTGAATTTGTTGTTATTTTTCGACGTCCTTCGAAATGGGGTTTTGCGATTTTGTTGCCTTTTCTTCTCCTCTCTTCTCTCTCAATTACTCTTCAATCTCATTCTGCCCCTTCTTGATTTTCAGTTTCAAGGGTTTTTTTTATTGTATTATCAATCTTGACTAGTTGGGTTCAGGGTTTAGGCTAGACAATTTTCTTCAGCTTCATTATAATTAAGGATCTGGGGTGTTATTCTAAGCTAATTTTGATGCTCGGTTTATTTTTTTTGATCTTTGAAATTGATGTATGCAATTCTAAGTGAGCTTTTTCTTTCTGGTTTTATGATCAATTCTAGATATAGGCACATGACCCATTTAGTTCAATCTTTCTCTATTTTTTCCTTTGCTGGTTGGAAGGATATACGTATAAATTCTTTGACCGCTTGGAGAAAGTATTGTGTAAGAAAGAGCAAGTGTTTGGAATTGGATATAGTTAAAAAATATGCTAATTTGACAAAAAGGAAAAAGGATTTTATTTTTATGTTTGTTAGTTGATTTAACTGAATTGGATTACTTTTTTATTTGGTTTTTTCTTAAAATAATGATACCATTTTCTGTCTAATAGAGAACTAATCTTTTCTTTAATTGAGTTTTTATATGTCTCAATTTATGTTCATAAACTTGTTGTGTTTAGTTATGTTCTTGAGCCGTGGCGTCACTGCTTGCCCTGGTATCTTGGAAACTATACATTAAAAGAGACTTGGAATATCATAATTTATTCAACTAGTCTTTATTTGGCATTTTTTCCCCTCCTATTTGTATTGCTTTATGTATTTTTTTATTATGAATGCTTGAATTGGCTTAGTATTATGTTTTGCTAAACTGGCTTAATATTATGTTTTTGTTTCCATTGATTTTTTTAATAAATTTTTTTTCTAATTTGACGGCTGGATCTAAAAAAATAATTTATTTTCGGAGTTATTAAAGACCAAACCGAACCAACTTATATGGTTATGGTATGATCAAAAAATTGGTGATTCGATGATGATTTTGACCTAGCCGACCCTGATTCGAACGGTTGCTACACAAGAAATAAAGTCTAATAACTAGTTCAATAACATTTATCAAATTCGAAGTCATGCAATATCGAAAAAGATGGTTAGTATGTTTTCAATACTAATCCTAAACTAAGAAATTAAATAAAATATTTATTTAATATGTGAATATTTGAATTAGAATCGTGAATCCCCCTATTGCCATTTAATTCAATTTTTAATTTGTAATCTAGTAAATTAATGCATTCAAGACAATCAATAATCCACTTTTATTCAATATTCATTTCCAAAATATATTAAACCTATGTTTAATATGACTCGATTCTATTCCTAGTCTAAATTCATATGAAAATATGCATTGATTTACGGGGATTTATTACACATAATTGCACATATCATAGATATTATTCCTAGCACCTATTGTCCACTTGTTGATTTTATTGCGTTCTAGCCTTATTGTGAATATTTCGATACTACAAGAAGCAACATACTATCTAATTAGTGATCAAACAATTAAATAGTTCAATGGGAATGCAAAATCAATCAAGAAAAATCAAGAATACTAAACTAATTATCATGAATTAAAATAAACAAACACTAAGGTTCATCTTTCATCCAATACAATGAAAAACTTAGTCTAACATTCTTATGATTAAATTACACAATAATACTTGGAAAAATATCACCTGAAAATAAAAAAGATGGAACAAGTATGAGAAATTCATGTTCTTGGCTAAAATCTTGAAATCGAGCTATAAATCTTCAAAATCTTTGTATGATTCTCTCGAAAATATGTAAATGATGAAATTTAGGTCGAATGGAGTTTTTTTACTTTTTGGTCGAGTTTTGGTATTTAAAGGATGTCAAAAAAATTGCGTTGAATTGTTACCAAAACAAAATAAGAAAAATCGAGTTTTTTTTTTTTTTTTTTTTTTTCATTTTAGTATTGTGGCGCGTGCCTCTCCTATAGGCGAATGCGCTTACTTCGCATAATTTTTGATAGCCAAACAACTTTCAATATTTTTTTCATAATTTTCTCTTTCTATATTCGAATGAGGTGATTCAAAATGCATTAAAAGCTCACTTAGAGTGCTAGAATTCTTCTAGAAGTCATTTTTTCAATTCGAATATTTACTGTGCCAAAATTGGGTCTCAATATAAGGCTGAAAATCCGAAGTATAACATTTTCGGTTGAAAGTTATTGTACGATAATACTTTGACTATACTTTATCTCTTCGACTTATTTCATTATCCAATTGACTTTTAGCACTCTCAAATCTTCATTGTGAGGTACAACAAAGCTTTTTAATATTTGTACTTTAATCCCTGAACTTTGGATTTGCTTTATTTCAACCCTTTTTTTTCTTGCAATCTTGTTCTTGTATCTTTAAATTGTATCCAATTAAATCCTTGGCATTTTTTATCTTCATTTTATTACCCGTCTCATTGACCTTCATTTCATTACCCGTCTCATCTGTGAATTGTTTTCAATTTATTTCTCGACTTTTGGATTTCACCATTTTTCACTATGTTTGCATTCTTTTCTCCAATTCTTCATCATATATTGAGTTTTACCTACAAAATACAATACAACATAAGTTATGTATCCAAAGAAGACTAAAATATTATCATTTAGGATATCTAATAAGTGTAGTACTACATTTATCACGCAACACGGTATTGCATTAAACTGTTCTCAAAGACAGTCTACATAAAATATTGGTATGCACCCACTTAGATTTAGATTAAAAAGTAAATTTGCTGACGAACGATGCAATATAGGTTTCGTGAAGTTCTTAAATTTCTACGTAGTTTTGTCAAACTCACCACATATAAATCTCCACCTGTTAAAATATCTCTCTCTCCTACCATCACAAAATTATATTAGAATAACAAGATTCACCAAGTTGCAATGCATTACTAATAATATGCACGAAAACCATTGGAATCAACACTAAAATAACAAAGCCGATCAGTTTCCAGGTACCCAATTTTGTAGGTTGATATTCCCAAAGAATGTCTTTGTCTAGGGCTGGGACAGATACAACACGAGAAATATAGACATCACCGATCGTTTTCCAATTGTCTTTAGAGGCCTCTGATTATGTATATAACCCATGATTGAAAGGGAAAACAGTAACCATTGTTAGGCAGTGTTATAAATTGAGATAGATCGCAAGCAATGCTAAAAATAGAAAGAATCATGCAAAAGCTGTTAAATTTGGTAAAATAGAGGCATAAGGACAAGGAGAAATCTACAAACCTGAATACCGTCAAAGATGTTTCCCAATATTCCAGGACCCAATTTCACTGATATGGCTTGCAAAAATGGGCAAATAGGTATAAATAAACCTAGAATCATCTCAACTCTTCAAGTTAAAGAATGTCATTTCCAACACGAACTAATTCACATATAGCAGCTCCTGCCATTCCATTAGCAAAAACCATAGGTCCAGATACCTGTTGAAAAAGAAAATTCCACCCAGTAGCAACAGAAATACTAGAGCTATTTCAGCATTAAAGTCTGTACAGGTGTTTTAAACGAAGCAATGCTAGGGCACAAATTTTATTGCCAAGAAATGTATCCCCATGGGCGGATCCACATGGGATCATGTGAGTCCACAAAAATTTTTGATTTTTTTTTTCCAAAATTTCTGTAGCTGTTGTAATTCTTGTTCAATACATTTTACTCCATACTTTTCATTGTTGTTTGTTTTTACATTTGAAAGGAGAGTTAATAAATGGAGTTCGATAACGTCTCTTCTTTTATTGAAAATTCTAGATTTTGTAGGGGTTATTATTGGGCTTTGATTTCTTCCAGTGTATCTGCACATTTGCTTTATCTAAATGGGTGTTTAGAAAGGTAGAAGATATTAATTTAATCGATATGTGTTAGCTCTTGGTTTAAATGATGATTTCAATCAGTATAGCTAGTATACATTGTTACGTGTTGTCATACTTGGTCAATCTACTTGGGCCTATGGCCCACTCAATTCGAACCACGTGGCGCTCTAACCGAGGTGGCATGTATGACCAAGGTCCTTCATGTCGAGGCCCATATATTGAGGCCTATGAAACTAGCCGAGGCCCATATGTCGAGGCCTGTGAAGATAGCTAAAGCCCTAAAGCGAAAGTACTACGTAAGTGGCAGGAGCCCTGAATCCGAATTCGAAGTCGAAGCCTCCGAACCATGAAGGAACGTCTTCTATGATCACTTCTCCCAAGAGATCTTCTACATAAAGATCTTGTTAGAATGATTGATGGAACGTTTGTCATAAGTGTACATGTCAAGTCTTGTCATTAGTATGGGGGTTCTGCATAAGCAATAAATGCGCAGCAAGCTAACAAGTCAAGGATGATGCCTAGGATTGGATGTTTGATGAGGCCACGTGCCACCTCATCTAAGGGCTGTCATTTCACATGTACCACTATAAATACTTTCCTTGTGTAACATTAAAGGGCTAATGCAAAAATCAATACAAGAAACCACATTTTACTCTCTCTTTCACATTGTCTTGCAACACAATACGAGTTCATACACGTTTACATGCACATTCATGAGCACCGATTGGTTATTATTGTACAATTGGATTACGAACATCCCGTCAAATTCCTAACGTTCTCGTCCCGCATTGTTGAGCTACTCCCATGCTCTTGATCCGTTCGTTCTAGACCGTCCACGTGTCTTAGTGTGTAGGACCTTCGCTCACATGTGCGCGGGTGGGTTCGGCATCTGTTGGCAATATTTTTTGGGGTCAACAGATTGGCGTCGTCTGTGGGAAACCATACCATAACCATGAACAACCTTGTGGTGAAAGCTTGTTGAAGAGCATTTGGACATCCCCCTTGAAAAGGGATTTCTTCTTGAAAAAGAACAAGAGGAAGCCCCACAACTTAGCAAAATCTGAAGAGTCTGACGAAAAGAAAATGAGTTCAAACGAAGACACCCCCCCAGGAGGGTAAGAGAAAACGCAAATGTGCCTCCTCCACCCGCTACCCCAGCAGCTCGGCAAAGACTCCACCACCACCAAAGAAGAGGTGGAATGCGGGTGACGGCACAACTGTTAAGAGAAATGCTGCCATGGCGGCCAATATGAGGGATATTGCTAGCCAAAACTTGGCTATGAGGGAGCTCATGGCCCAAATGCAGAGCTAGGGAGGCTTCCCCATTCCTCCATACGCTCCTTAAGGGCACTACCAGCAAGAAGATGAAATTCAAAGTCATAGAACTGCCTCGCCGGACTATAGCTGAGGTAGAAGCCCATTTGAAAGAGAAGTGGAAGTTGATGATTCCTCCAACTACGCTTCTAGTTGACTCACTAAAGTCCCATTAAACCATGATAACTTCCCACCTTCGTATGAGCAAGAGTCAAGACATAGGAGGACATGTAGTGTATTTGACAGAATTAGCCCCGCTGAACCGAGGCTTAGGCGACAACAGACTCACCAGCCTTGGACAAGGCCACGGCCTCCACCTCCAATGCCCCAGCAGCCGAAAGAAAGGCATGAAAATGCCCCCCGTGTTGCTCAGCCTAGAAATAGGCGCCAGATGAGAGAGGAAGAGGCTAGGAATCGTCCCGAAACCTCTCACCAACAACCATGGCATGAGGTCGATGAATACGATTCAGATGAACAACAGAGGTCCTGTGACTTGGACGATGACGATGAGAATTTACCGTTCTCAAGAGAACTAAGGAGTGCCCAAGTTCCAAGCCACTATGTAATGGCAAAGATACCAAAGTATAACGGAAGAGACGACCCAGAGAAGCACCTGAATGCTTATAAAACTCATATGAGCCTAAGAGCCGCCACCCCAGCTGTGAAGTGCAGAGCTTTCCATTTAACACTTAGTGGAGTGGCTGAAATTTGATATAGTAGGTTATCGCCTGGGAGCATAAGAAGTTGACCCGAGTTCAAGACAACATTCTTGAAGAGGTTCGCAGTGAGTAAAGAAGGAGAGGCCCCCATCCAACGTTTCCAAAACATGAGACAAGCACATGGGGAGTCCCTAAAGAGCTTCCTATCACGCTTCATCAATGAGATGATGTATTGCATGCAAGTCACCGACCGTGAGGCACTATCCGCATTAAGGAGAGGTCTAAACATGAATACCCTATTTTGGAGGGATGTGCAAAATCAAGATCCCACCACCTATGATGCCCTACTCGAGATGATGAGGCGGGAAATCATCAATGAAGAATTGATTGAGCATAGGAACAGGGCAAGTAGGGGCCTCCCACCTCCTCAAAGGCAACGTGCTAGAGGGCCGACCTCCTACTTGAGGGACTACCAAATGAACTAGGCTGGAAATGAGATTTCTGGCCAAGCACTTTCCATTTAACGCGGTTCCTACCTTGGCATATGAGGATATCAACCCAATTACTAACACCCAGTAGACAAAAACCCCACAAGGATCCCGTAGTGGGAGAGGTCGAGGCCGGGGTTTGGGACCTAGAAATAGGTCAAATTAGAATCCAACGGGATATTGTGTACACCACCGGTCCTATGGATATGACACAGCGGATTGTCGAGACTATGCGTACCGCTCCCAGCTGGAACTCCCGAGGGACAGAAATGAATCGCCCCAGGCGAACAGGCTCCCGTCCAGTTACGACAACCGACGTGGGCATGAGGAGGCTACTCCCCGTCAAAGGGATGTTTCCCCACGACGAAGGGAGCGTGATACGGAAAGGCCCAAGGAAGGGCACAGGCACTGAAGAAACCGACAAGCCTAAGATAAGACCCCTATCCACGAGGTGGATACCATATTTGGAGGACCATATGTTGGTGGTGAAACACGAAACGCCAAAAGGAATTACACCCGAGAGGCTAAACACCTCCCTTTGGCAAGCTACATTGTGGACAGTAGCTCCCGGAGGAACCAAGTTCCACCCATTGTCTTCACCCAAGAGGATGCCGGAGGATTACACTACCCCCACTGATATGCACTTGTTGTGAGAGCCTTCATAGCCCGAAATGGGCTCAAGCGAATGTTAGTTGACAACGGTAGCTCTGTCAACATTTTATTCGGATCTGCCTTTGACAAGATGATATTGGATCATCAGTTGACACCCACCACAACTCCTCTGTACGAATTAACCAAAGATAGCATCACTCCAAGGGGAAAGATAACACTTGCAGTGGAGATGGGAGAGTCTCCCCAAACTACGATGAACTTCATGGAGTTCCTTATTGTCGACAGTCGATCGGCCTACCATGGAGTATTAGGTAGGGCAGCCCTAAAAGAATTGGGAGCAGTCACCTCCATCCACCACCTATGCATGAAATTCCCTACGAAAAATGGGGTGGCAACGGTGAGAGGTGACTAAAGAGGATCGAGAGAGTGTTATCTAAGCTCCATAAAAAAGGTAGAGCCCCGGGACGTCCATGTAATCATAGCCGATATAGTCATGGCTGACGTTCCAGGTGATGGTCGTACTGAACCAGAAGATATCGATATGATTGATGCACCACCCAATCCAGAGGTATTGGTCATTGATGAAATCGATCCCGCATAATTGAACACGAACCTCAAGTATCCCCAGTTGAGGAACTTGAGAGCTTTTCGGTAGACCCCCGAGACCCATCCAAGGTGCTGAAAGTAGGCAAGGGCTTATCCAACATTTTGAAGGAAAAGATTAAGGATTTCCTAAGTAGGAACCTTGATGTCTTTACTTGGAGGCATGAGGACATGGTAGGCATAGACCCCAAGGTCAGTTGCCACCACCTGAAAGTCAATCCTAAGGTTGCCCTACACAGACAAAAAAGGAGAGCCCTCAATCCTAAAAGGTGTGAGGCTCTGAAGGAAGAGGTTCAGAAACTCATCCAAAACGGCTTTATTAGGGAGGATACCTATCCGAGGTGGGTCTCCAACCTGGTTTTAGTGAAGAAACACAACAGCAAGTGGAGGGTGTGCATCGACTTCACTAACCTCAACAGAGCTTGCCCGAAAGATAGCTTTCCTCTCCCAAGGATTGACCAACTAGTAGACTCCATGGCTGGGCTCGAGTTGTTGAGCTTTATGGACGCATACTCCGGCTACACCCAAATACCCATGCACCCGACCGATGAGGAGCACACCTCTTTCATCATCGATCGAGGCCTTTATTGTTATAGGATGATGCCCTTGGGGTTGAAAAATGCCGCAGCAACTTACCAAAAGCTTATCAACAAAATGTTTATGGACCTTATCGGCAAGACAATGGAGGTATACGTGGATGACATGTTGGTAAAGAGTTTAGAGGCTGAGGACCACATAATGCACCTTAACAGCACCTTCCAAATCTTGAGAAGATATAGGATGAGGCTCAACCCCCTCAAGTGCGCCTTTGGAGTGGCCTCCGGCAAATTCTTAGGATACATGGTCAATCAACGTGGAATTGAAGCCAATCTTGAGAAGATTGATGCCCTATACAAGACGAGGTTCAGCGTTTGACTGGGCCGGTGGCCACACTTAGCCTCTTCGTCTCCAAAGCTACAGACAAATGCCTCCCATTCTTTAAAGTGCTGAAAGCTAGGAAGAAGTTCCAATGGAATGAGGAATGTGAAGAGGCCTTTTTCAAGGCCTGAAAACGCACCTGGGGCAGGCCCCTCTCCTCTCCAAATCGAAGCTCGGTGAGATCCTACAGCTATATCTGGCCGTCTCTAATGAGGTCATCAGTTCGGTTCTAACCTGAGAAGAGGGGACCACCCAACTTCCCATTTACTATACAAGTAAAGCACTCCTATCGCCAGAAACCCGTTACCCCGATATGGAGAACCTTGCTTTGGCCCCGATATGGAGAAGCTCGCTTTGGCCTTGATCACGACCTCTAGGAAATTGAGACCCTACTTCTAAGCTCACACCATCCATGTGCTGACAAACTCTCCCCTAAGGCAAGTGCTCCAAAAGTCCGATGCCTCAGGAAGATTATTGAAGTAGGCAGTGGAGTTAAGTGAATTTGACCTCATGTTCAAGGCTAGGGCAGCCATCAAGGGTCAAGCCTTAGCTGACTTTGTAGCAGAATTCATCAATTTACTCGAGGTAGATAAAATCATGGAACCCGTCGAGCCCCTTATGTGGAACTTATTTGTTGATGGGTCGGCCGAGGACGCCGACTCAGGTGTTGGAGTTGTTCTCATCAGCCCTGAAGGTCACAAGCTAAACTCAGGGGTGAGGTTCGGGTTCAAAGCCACCAACAATGTAGTAGAATATGAGGCACTTCTTGCAAGCCTCAGGCTTGCCAAGGAAATGCAAGTAAAGAGGCTACTCATCAGCAGTGACTCCCAA